ATTGTACCCTTCATTTGGTCGTTTACATAGAGTTCAAATATTATTTTTATATAGATTTGCATTGCTTCTTCAAGAAATTCCGGTTGATCAACATTATAAGGAATAAATAGCATAAGAAACAATAATATCAATAAATAAGCTTAAACATTCTTTGAGACCTTTGTTATTCTATTGCAATCGAACTCAACTCCAACTATATTTCAATAATCTAAAGAATAATCTGACCTCTATTTCATATCACCTTCAAAAATGTCCTCAAGCTCAATCCATTCACCTATGGTAATGTGCTTCATGGCATTGTAAGACCTATCTTTTTATATAATAATTTCATTGAAAATAATATTCTTATTTCTTGTTTCTTATTTCTTTGTTTTCATTATATTTCAATAACCTCAAGAATAATCCAGCCTCTTATTTACATGTCACCTTCAACAATCTCCTCAAGCTCGACCTATATACCTAATAGAGGTGTGCTTCATGGCATTGTAAGAGCTATCTTTGCACATAATAATTTCATTGAAAATTATACTCTTATTTTTGTGATCTTACAATTTTGATCATCCCTAAACCTAAAATCAATTGCGGAGCTAGGACCCAAATAAGGGAGATCAAAATAATAATTATTCAGAAATTACATTTCATGATTATGCATGCAAAAAGAATTATTGGGTGTCACTATCAATTTAAATTCAAGAATATTGAAAACTCAAATATTAATATGATATAAATATTCTTAATTTTTATAATACAAACAATACTAAAGTAACTAAACATATCAGGTAAGTAAAAATTTATGAAGATATATATATTTACCTAAGATGATTAAAAATGAATTCAACCTTTAGTTTGTCGAAAAATAAATTAAGAGGTAAATAACTATAATTAGAAAGATTCACAATAAGAAATATTATATAATTTAAGATTTAAAGTTTGATTATACTAAATCTAGGGGGTACAATTGCACCCCTTTACCAACTATGGATTTGTCCCTACCTAAAATCATTAATTGCATATCCAACAAAATAATATCTTTAGATTTGATAATTTTGTCCTTGTCAATCTAAAGTTCTTCAGAAAATTCATAACACAACATAATCAAGTCACCAATGTTTATAAAAAAAGTGCCAATGTTAGAATGCCTTCAGCAATCTTGCATGTACCATCACATTTCTAGCTCTTTCTATCAAAAATCCATCCAACAAACTCATTTTATTGTGATGCTCCTAGAATTGTCCTCTATATGTCGATCCCCAATAACTGAGCAAAATTTTATTAATTTTTTGCTATTATATTCTCTTCTATTCTTCATCATTTTATTTATGCACCAAACTCATTGCCTACCAAGCTCATCCACCTTGTAAAAATATAGAAGGTATTAGATCAAATTTTTCAGAAGATAAATCAACACCTTTCCAAAAGAATCATCAATAAACATAATGTAGCAGAGTGATTCATAAGGCAGCCACCAAGATGGTCTCTAAATGTGGAAATACAAGCTTCAATTATTAAGACTTAGATTGTCTTTAAGTCTTTGAAAAAACTGACATTTTTTTTTTTGCTTTCTATGAATACGATCACCATAATTTGAAAGCTTATCTTTTACATGCAAAATTCACATCCCTTTATCACTTATATGTCCCATGTAGAGTTTATTGTTGCTTACACTATTATAGTGTTATAAGGTATATATATTGTGTCCTTTTTTCTACCTAGTGATATCATCATAACACCCTTAGTTAACATCAAAATACCAATGTTGAAGATCAAGTTACATCATTCTTCTTGAAGCTGCCCAATAAAAATCAAAATTCTCTTCAAGCCTAGACTAAATTTCACATAGTTAAGCTTCCCTATAGCTCCATTGATAATTTTGATTAAAACATCATCAATTCATAATGCTTAAGGTCTCACTGTTAACAAGATAGGTTTTTTTCATATTTTTGATGAAATAATTAGACATTAGCAATTTAAATGAAATAGAGAAAAAAGACATAATTGAAGTCTAGAATCGCATACTCCTTAGGATAAAAATAAGGATTAATACATTCTTAATCACTTGCGCAGTTGCATTCCTTGATTTTCTTTTTCACATAGATTTTATATGTTCTCGCACCATGGTAGTCTCTTTTTAGTAAAAAGACGTAATTTTCTTGTTCTTTATTTTACTCATTTTTACACTGCTTTTATATCAATTCACAATGCAAATAATCATTCAAATTAATGTTCAACGTGAAAAGTTTGTTGTAGTTCCCACAATATCTTTTATGATGCATTAACTCTATGTTATATTAGCTATTTAGGCTTTAAATACCTACAACAATAAATAACTTGTAAAATTTCATTTAGATAAAAAGCTAAGCAGTCTTTCATGTGGAGAAAGTAAGAATATAGCTTTTGTCTATATACAACCAAAAACAACACAAAAGTTATATGATGTATAAGCCTCCTTAATGGCTTCAATGGCATAAACAACGCACTTGGAAGACAATACACTTAACTCTATGATAATAACAATGGACTGTATTATATAAAATCACAAAATATAATTATATTGAGAAAAACTTTTTGGCACACATTGTGATTATGAGGTTCAATAATTGGAAGATACTTTGATTGAGGATATCCCCAGTTAATTTCAGCTTTTAAATACAAGAAGTAATATTTCCCTTCTGCAAGCCGATAATCCTTTTTTTTTTGGCAAGGAGGCACATGTAAATCCTGTGCTGGATTAATTAACACTGCATCAAAATGATATAAAGTAATTTAGCCATGCAAATGCCATGACATTATTTATTAGGCTATTGATGTGAAACTACATGAGGTGACAAGAGAATTGCACTTAAAATTAATAGAATGATTGATTTTCTTTGCTACTAAAAACCCTTTTGCTTGATCAAATTGAGTTTAAGAATTAGACGATGATAAAATTAATTAATGGCAATAGGTTACATGTAGAGATCATAGTGACTTGCAAAATAATAACTAAACATAAAAATAATGCGAATAGCTAGGGATAACAAAGCCCCAAATTTAAAATCTAGATCATTCACCTTGAGAGCTTTCACTCGATTTGAAAGTGGTGGCTAGTGGAGGAGAATCGTAAGTAGACTTAGCGATGCCACTAATAGACAAGTGATCTTGAGAGGACTCGTCGCCGGGAAGGAAGTCGGAATTGGAGAAGCTGGTGGTTGTCCGCGGATGATCCACTCGTAGTCTTCAAAGTGCTCGTCTACGACATCCACGAGCGTAGGGAGGATGCGGTTCAAATAGTCTTCGACGGTATCGTCGGGTCCAAACCCAACGTCGAAGAATGGCGAGCGTGTGACGTGAATATTCCCGTAGACATCGAGGACTAACCCACTATCCACTTCAGGATCCGCCATTCATCATGAGAGCTTTTGGCGTGGATTTATGGGAGTATAGAGAAGAGCGGCCACCCAAGAGAAGTGGTACCAAGGGCGGGTGGAGATGCCAAGGGGAGAAAATAACAAAATCTGAGATTGGTCTCAGATTTCTGGATGTTGACTGTAACCGTTGCACACGAATGGCTCTAGATCGAACAAACCGCCCCCGACCGACTTAAGCCCCAAACGACACAATCGCCTCTATCGGTCCCACCTCGCAACGATTCGCCCGGAAGGGAGGATTCAGAGGGGTCGGCGGTAGGGAGGATTCAGAGGGGTCAGTGGAACCAGGGGAAAGCAGAGGAAAAATGTAAAATCTGAGAGCTATGGTTTTAATCTCCCTCACCTCGAGTCTCCTTTAAAACGCTCTAACTCCACACTATAATCTTGAACGAACCCTAGAACTCACAGAGAGATCTAGTTTTCCCTATGAACTCACTAAGAGATCATGGGGAATGCACTCACAAAGAGAACAATGGAGAATGAAAATATTTTAATTGAACAAAAACTAATCCATTTCAATACATCATGCCTCATATAAGGAGGCCAAAATAAAAAGCTGAAAAAAGACAGAAGTGCCCTCGGGGCGACATAAGCAAAACAATGTCCTCAGGGGAAAACTTGGAAAAACTAAAATACATATGAAATAAAACTATAAATAAAATCAGAAATAGAGGCTCTGGATCGTGGCCGTCGATCTACGTCGTCGGCGATGATACACGTGTCGAAATCTGATGTCCCCATCAGCTATTGTATTAGTGCATGCAAGGAAGCAAAGGGAGAACGTTTCTAGTTGTAAATCTCTAAAACATAGTTCATTAATGTGAATTTTCAAAAACTGGTAACATTTCCCATAAGATAATATATGCCGCGGTGAATCTCGGTTGTATAAGTTCTTCAATTTTTAAATGCAAACTATAATGGTGTAAATGAGTTGCCATATGTCTATAAATTCATGCATCATGTGGAGAAAGTATGAATATAATCTCAGTGTTTATACATATATGTTTAGTCTGTGTAGTGCCACAATGCTACGGGTTTGAGCGCCGCAGCTCTTTGAGGCGGGTTGAACCGTTTTCTTTCTCGTTTTTCTTAAGGGTGGTGTCCCTTCGTGTTATATACTTGACTTTCTCTTTTGTTTTAAAAGAAGAAACAATATAAGATAGAAGAGTAGCAAGGAGAGAGTGAGATAGAAGAGAGATCTGCACTTATTTCTCCCAATTTTTATAGTGGATTTCTTGGTGTGATGTGGCTCCATGGTTTTTTTCTCGATTTCAGGTTTTTCCACATTGAATCCTTGTTCTTTTACTTTTCATTGCATTCTATTATATCTTGTTTATTTCGTTCCGGTGATTTTTTTTTTTTTTTTGTGTGTGGGGGGGGACAATAATTTTCGAACAACATCAAAATTGTCAAAAACCCATGACCACTGCAATCTCACATATGTAGTCCGCTCAACTTATGGGCAAATGCTTCTCAAGATGAATGCACACGCAAACATATCAGTTTGCAAAAGAGTATCATAAATAAAAGATGATTTTTTTTGGAGAAAGTAAATAAAAGATGATGAAGCTGCGGACAGGTTGCTAAAAACTATTGAACGAATGTGAATTATTTTATGATTACTAAACTAGGCTACATCATCATCCACAAACATTAGCATTATCCTAACTACTTAGATTTGGCCTTCTACTTATATCAGAAAACCGATGGTACTTGGATGCATTCAACATTAGATGGCAGGATGGATCCTTTAATGAATATTTGGAATACATCATTAAAAATCACAGTCAACTAAGCCAAACAAGATAAGCAATTACAAGAGCACCAACCATGATCAAAAGCACCTTGAGATACACATCAAGCTCCAGCCCATGAGCCACTTGCCGCGGGTAACCATAAGCATGCCCTCCATGAGGATAACCATATGGGAAGCCAGCAACAGGCCCATATGAAGTTGTAACTGGAAATCCATGCACCTGGAAATTCAGTAATGGAAATAGACCGCAAATCACAGCAGAGAAAGTGTAGTTCCCAAATCTTGCACCACCCATAGGTGTCCCACCCATGAACCATGGATTCATCTGAGCAAATTGATTCAGACTGTGCGGAGGAGGCAATGCAGGTCTCTGAGCTGTTGCAGGCCTTTGGCCAACTGGACGATGGGGAATGTTGACATTTGAGTTTGATTTAGATCGTGGATCCATGGGAACTTTCCCCGTCCATAAAGAGGAACTAGCTTATCCTCTTCGATGAATGCCTTGCAGACTGGACATTCAGAGGATTGGGCATGACCATGGAGCCATTGGTAAAGGCAGGGCCAACAGTAGAGGTGGCCGCAGAGTGTAACTATTGGATCTTGTGCTAATTCAAAGCAGATGTTGCATTCAAAACTCCCAGCATCATTGCTATTTGTATTATTAGCAGGGATGGAAGAATTAGGAGATCCTGAAGTTGTTGATTCTCCAAGATCTCTAGTCATTTACAACATTTGCCAACGGCCAATCTTTGAGAAAGAAAAACAAAATCTGAGGATAACAACCGAAATTGTAACAAAAGAGTTACTTGACCGGGCAATCAACACGAAAAGTTCAGGCATATAAATATCACAGAATGCGCTTGTTAATTTCAAGCAGATCAAAATGCAGAAACAATCATCTTTTGCTCCTGCCACAGAGTGAATGGGTTGTTTTAGCTACTTTTTATTTTTAAAAATGTTTAGAGAAAGACATTACGCTATCCAAAAACTCATGTACCATGATTAAGCAAGAAATAGAAATAACAGACATGAAGCCGATACAAACACAATAACTTAACCCTAAATCAGACATAAAGCACTACACTAACGCGCCTGAAAACAATCAACCCGCGAAAATACTGCTTAATAACTATCTGTTAACCGTAAAGAACGAAAATCAATAAACAAAATGGGAAAAATGCGTCATCAAACAAAGATTCAACGTTCTCAAATCAAACACGATTACCTAATTACATGGAAAGAAAAATAAATCAAAAACAGGCAATCAAAACCGAAAAGTTAAGCAACCGACGGGGAAATGGTAGCAAGTACGAATTCTACAGAAACTGAGAAGAAAAACCAGCAGAAGAAGTGCAAAAATGAAAAGACAAAAGAAAAACCCTAATCGAGGAAGGAAAGGAGAGGAATCAGACGACGTGGAGGTTGCAAGACGTAAAATCGCAGCAAACGAAAAGGAATTGTAGGGATGCCGATTCTTGCCTACTTCGAGGTTGCTGAAGCTTTAAGATTTTCACCCGAATGCCAGATATCTCGATCTCAAAGCTTTAAGATTCTTGATACTGCCATTCTGGTTTCCACCCTTTCACCTTGCTAAATGGGGCGGCATGCCCAATTTTTATTGAAATAATGGCATGAAACTACGTGAAAATATCTGAAAAGCAATAGCAAGATAGATTTGTGACTGCTATCGGAAAAATAAAGCAATAAATAAAAAATTTAAAACAAATCCTAAATCTATTACACATAAGCTTTTTAACAGAAATTATTCAAACCCTAATCGAGGAAGGAAAGAGAGAGGAATCAGACCTAGAGGTTGCAAGACATAAAATCGTAGCAAACGGAAACGAATTGTAGGGATGCCGATTCTTGTCTACTTCGAGGTTGCTGAAGCTTTAAGATTTTCACCCATATCTCGATCTCAAAGCTTAAAGATTCTTGATACTGCCATTCTGGTTTCCACCCTTTCACCTTGCTAAATGGGGCGGCATGCCCAATTTTTATTGAAATCCTGGCATGAAACTACGTGAAATTATCTGAAAAGCAATGGCAAGATAGATTTGTGACTGCGATCAGAAAAATAAAGCAATAAAAAAAATTTTAAAACAAATCCTAAATCTATTACACAGAAGCTTTTTAATAGAAATTATTCAGTACACAGCCCGCTTTCACATGTTAGTTGAGAGTTTAGGCTTTCAACTAAATAAATGGTAATGGGTTCGAGTCTTTGTATATGCGTTGTGTGTGTGAGTTTGTCTTAAATGAACTAAATGTCCCAAAATAAGAAGAAAAAAAAAATTATTCAGTACAAACACCAGATAGTTCGAAAACTAATCAGAACGCCTACAGTGGTATCGAGTATCGATACCGAGTAATATGATTGATCTACAAAATTCATCCGATCCCCGCAAAGAATAATTTTTCCTCTTTAGTTGCCTTCTATCCAATCCAAGCATTTTAAATATTCTGCTTGTGAACTTATTCATTTAAATATTAAAAAAAAACTATGATTTTTTGTTCATATTAGGAGATTTCAAGTTCCCCTAAACCAAAGAGATGATTGGGTTCAGACACTAGACAGCTTACCGTTAGGTACTTCACAGTACCGAGTAATATTAAACTTGGTACTATGAAGTACCGAGCTCATGCCGAACTCAGTACCGTGTAGGAGGTGATGTGGCGCATTTTCATTGGGCTTCAGACGCCGTCCAGGGTCCGAACCCAATAATTTCCACAACCACGGAGCCCCATGAGCCATTAAAGAAAAAAAACCATTAGTTGATTTCATGATGAACATTGATTGTTGTGACAAGAAAAAAGGTATTTTTTAAAACTTTGAACATAGACTTTTTCACTCTTAGTTTTTCAAATGGATTAAGGAATATTGGACATAAACCAATTCTTCATTTCTTGTCAATGGTAATTTGTCGAAATCTCCCTTTAAGATAATAAAATAAATTTGATACAAATTGACATTCTTGGTAATTTTATGAGATGTGCGGTAGAAGCTATCTTCCAATGATAATAGTAAATGATTTTCTTATTATTGGAAGTATTTAAAATAAATCATCTTGTTGGAAAGATAGATTTCTTTCTATAAGAGGAATGTTGGCACTCATTGGTCATATTATCACAATTTTTTTCTTTATCACATCTCCTATTTTAAGGGATTATAAAAAGTTTGACTATGGCTTAGGTTGGGATAGCTTTTATATTGCTTTATAAATTTTCTTTTTAGTATTTGTTTTTTAATATTAGAAAGCTTCAAAGCATAAAGAAAGTTGTCTCAAAAGAAGCCAACGACTTTCTTATTATTTCATAAAGAAGCTTTTTAATACATAAATTAAAATTTTATGCTAAAAATCTATTTTAGAAAGCATTAAAAAAGTTGTCTGAAATAAAGCCTAAATCATGAAGCGTTTCTTTTAAAAGTATAATAGCTATGATAGGCAAATTCTTCTTATCAATTGGAGTAAAATTTACACTCATAAGAAATTTAGGCTTCGTTTGAGATGATTTTTTTTATTATTTTTTAAAGAAATTTTTTAGTACAAAAATTTATACCTCAATAAAATTTTATACTAAAAAACTGCTTTAAAAAATAGTAAGAGAGCCGCCCAAACCAAGACTTAATATCTTAGCGTGTTTAATTCAAGATAATTTAATATCTCAAAGTGCATTTTTTTATTATTTATTATATGAAAAAAAAATCTAAGAATGTCATGATATAAATTATATTAGAATAGATTTGATAAACATTTAATTTATTTTGAATTTAGCGCTATAAATGAAGAATTTATATTATAATAATCTTAAAGCACTTATGATTATCAAATTCATTTGATAGGACCTATTGATGCTTTTTTTTTTGCTTTTTATATTTTTACTATAAATAACTTGTGAATCTGAAAGCCCATTTTGCTGCTTGAGATATCTACCTTGGCTTGCATTGGTGGTTTTCCTTTGAAAAAATTCCAAGCAAATCTTAATTATGCAAAATTGGATATCCTTCCCTTATTGGAGAAATATTCATATTAGTATTGCTTTTGTATCTATTTAGAAATATCTTTTTATTTTTTGCCCTATGGATTATGCAATGAGAGTAATATGTGAGCTTACCAAGGAAAAGATTTGAAAAAAAAAAATAGGGTACAAATAACTTTTCAAAAATAGGGATGCCAATAAATAATTCTATTTGACATGGATATAACACAAAAATATGAGTTTGGGTTGACCCGTAAACTCTATTTTAACCCGAAAGTGAACCATTTATTTCATTTCCTTAAATTAATTTGCTTGTTGGTATAATATTTGTTTTCGATCAATTTATTTAAACTCTGTAGTTGACAAATATCAAATATTTCTTTTAATCAAAACGGTTATCAAGTTAGATTTGGGTCATTTGGGAAGCTATCGAGTCTTGTTCGGATCTATCTTTTTTACCCTTTTATAGAAGGCTTCATATTGGGTTGATTGGATTTAGATCATATATTTTCATGTTTTTGAAACCCCACTTGTTAACTCATTTTGAAATATACATCCAAAAAGTGATCTGCAAAATTTGAAATATATGTATTGGCTTAAAGACCTTAGATAGTTTAAGATTAGTTCAACATCAGTTATATATGTATTTCAATCTTCTAAAATATATGTAAAGACTTTGAGGTTCATTTTATCAAAATTTGAATTAGAATTTTTTTAATTAAAGATATTTAGTTTAGCATTGTATCATTAACAAGCCTCTTGATCTATGCTTTCAAGGGGACAATTTTTTAAATCAATAAAAAACAACATTAGTAGCTAATTAGGCTTTTTTGGACAGTCTTAAAGAGCTTTTCATCAAATATTTTTTCAACTTTCTTTTGTTCTCAATTGCTTTATGTGTTAAGTATGTGTACTTTTTCTTTCTTGTAATCACCTACTGTGCTTCAATGTAGTTTTTCCTTCTTCTTATTGATTAGAAGAGCTTAACCCTTCTTTTTTTTTAAAATAAAAAAATAAAAAATTTGAATATGCCTAAAGTTCTAAAGAGCAAGAGGAAATTAAGGGTATATTTAGAATAGAGGTAATTTTTTTGTAAAGTTGGATGTGAAATTATTGTGAGAAAATAGCATAGCTACTTTAGTTGTAAAAACAAGGTTTTCACCACAAAAATTATTCAAAAATAGAAGCAAAATAAAATTATGATTATTATATGAAAAGCAAATCAATAAAAAAACTATCCCAAGCATACTATAAGCCAAGCACATTAACATTTTTAGACAAAATTATTTCAATTTTATAAGCACGAGAACACTACATAATAACTTTCATGTATGAGAGATTTTTGGGAGAGTTTAGCTCTAATATTTTCATACAAATTTGATTAGTATTTTTCTAGTAATACTTTGTATTGTTAATGATTATAAATAATAATATTAAACAATATAAAAAATAATAACCTTGTTGAAAAAAATTGAAACAATAAAATATATTCATAGATTTTAGATTAGTTGATAAGAACTGAGAATATTACACCAACAAATAAAAAAAAAAATCAAACAAGTCTTTTCATATTAAAATCAGGTTGGCGGATCAACTTGAACCCGACATGTTTAATAAATGGGTCAAAATACATGACATCAACCCGACTCATTTATTAAACTGATCAACCTTAATATAAATTCTTCGGTTGGGTTCAAAATAGGTTGGTGGGTGGTGGGATTATTTATTGACTCCGCCATAGTAAGAAGCATCTTCAAGTGTAAGGAAAATTTTCATTAAATATATTTTATACAAATTCTCAAGTAGTTCAACAACACTCAGTTGTTAGAGATGAGCTTTTAAAATATATATATATAGACAACAAAGTAGCTCAATATTTGTAGCTAAAAATATAGAAAATCAAAGAATATCTGTATTTGATATATAATGAGTTGAGTGAAGAAATGATTGTGAGAATTGAAGAACTAATAAAGAGTCAAAGACTGATATTTTTATTTTTATTTTGGTTCTTTTCATAATATTTCATTTTATTTTTTTCTTATAAGAGCAAAATATATCATTATATAAATTAAAATTTATGCATTTACATTTATATAGTTTGTATAATTATTATATAATTTAATCTATATATATAGTGTATTTTTAAAATAATTATATTTTATATTAATATTTAATATCATATTATATTTGTACCTTTATATCTGTAAATTTTAGAAAATTTATTTTTCTAAGAATAGTTTTGCAACTATTATACAAAATGTTGTAGACATCCCAAACAAAGCAGTGGATATATAGGCTTTGTTTGGGACGGGTTTTTTTACAGCTTTTTAAAACAGTTTTTAAGTATACAAATTTTAATTTTTTAATTAAAAAACTGTTTTAAGAAGCAATAAAAAAACACTCTCAAATGAATCCTTAATCTCCTCAAAAATAAATTTGAAAAAAAAATATATTTAAAATTCCGAAAAAAAATAGTCAAATTCCTGGTTCTTGGTCGCAGCAACTTGTTTACACAGGGTCAATTATTCTTCCAATTAGACCATTCAATGGGAAATGAATCTTTGAGTTTTGATTTTTTCTAGAAAGTAAATACAAACGATGCTTGATAATTTAATTAATTTGTGATTATCTTATTCAAATGTTAGAAAGAAAGCCTTTGAAATTATACGCAATGGCCTCTCGGTCACATATATCTGATAGCTAGCTTCTAGATAATGACTAA